TATGGGCAGAACGGGACTTGGTGAAGACCGGAAAAGGGGTATTGGGGAAGGCTATTCCCCATGTCTATGAGCATCTTAAGGATGCTAAGGAGTGGATCTGGAATGAACATTCATGGACGGATGGCTCAGTCCTTGAGAAATGGGACTGTGATGTAGGTGGTGTTAGACCGCTGGTGTGACCAAGGTAAAGGGGCATGGCCTTAGCGTAACGGGCTGATATGTCAGTGGTACTTTGGGGTGTCGGTCATGGGATCAGACACGTGGAGCACTTGGATCAAGTGCAAAGGTTGAGTGGTGGGGATGCCATTCTCGGGGCTAGCAAGCCCAAGTCTGAAATAGGACTTATGGAGGTTGTGAGTGAGACTCCTCCAAGTGATTGGAGGTGTGGTTAAGTGACTAAAGTAGAATGGAAAATTTAGTCGCCTACAGTGTCCTTGGGTTTGAATATTACTGACTTACCGGGAAGTTCAAATTCAGGAGCTTACAGACAAACACGCAAGTGGGAGCTAGACTATGCCTTAGGTTGGTCGGCCATGTCTAACCTACCCACTATCCCTACTATACATTTGGAACTGCCATTACCCCCCCCTCGCTTTTGAGGAACACACGCTTTGGGCTTTCACCCCAAGCCTCTCTTAGTATCAGGAGTTAGTTTCTAAGACAAGCTCGAAACTTACTAAATATGGAATAGCACTAGATTGTGAATTTGGACATGGGACGAACACTATTGTGTTCAAGACAATCTCTACATTCCATAGATATACCCAATGAGCAAATCTAGACACTTTCTATAAATAGCATTTGGGACCGAAATAAGACTAACACAAAGGGCATGATAGCGAGGGTGTTTAGCAGACACAGTAAGCTATCATCCAACGATATTGAGGGACTAATCTCAATACGCGAGGGTTCTTGTTAAGCCAGTGCAAAACAAAGCAAAAGAGAACTAAGAGCCAGGCCAAGTATGCTAAGCTAGAAATATATAGGAGTTCCTACCTTATGTCCATTTGGCTAAGTACAGATGCTAAACCTTGTTTACTAACACTTGAACAAGAGGGGTTGATAAAGGGAACTAGCAATACCGACTTTTTGCCATCGTGGCAGTAAGAAAAGAGTGTCCGTAAGGACTAGCCGACAAGTAACTTTCAATACCTAAAGTCATATTTGCGACAATTGTCTATCGAAGTGATAATGGTTCTGTGCCTCCCTCCCAAAGTGCTTGCACCCTTGTGGCTCTCCAAATAAACTAACACTTGTGGCCCATTGCCTCCCATACGGATATACCAACTTCAACCCCTATCATGTCCCACCAAACTTGCATGCTCCATCCATGTCGACCTCAATGTTGAATATGTCTCCACACTGAACTAGTGGCCGGACCTCAAGCTCCTTCAAACCAATGGAGAACGTCCCCACTCCGAGTTTGAAACTCTAGAACATCTCCTAATTCTTGTGACACTTTGAGAATTTGACGTTATACCTCTCTTGCCATATTGTAGTCCCACAAAATGTGTTGTATCATCTCTAGTTTGCCACACTCCTTGTATCATTAGCATGCTTCCTCCTGGAATTGTTGGCCCATTGGCAACCCATTGTTTGCTACCAACCAAGAGGTGGCCTTGACTTTCTGTTGTACGAGTAGTTTCCAAAAAGCAGGTGTATTGCCCACCACTTAATTTGCCTTAACTCCTTGCTCGATCCACCTCCTCCAAAGATTGGGGATCTCCCCACGAGCTTCCTCCCTACTTGTCAAGAGGCCATCTTGCACTTCCTTGACTTCAAATGAGAAGAAACTCCTCATGCCACATTTCCATACTACAATATCCAAATTCAAATCCTCAATGAACTGCTGTCACTACCAACTAAGGGTGTCATCCCCCTCGACTATGGCCTTTGACTGAACCACTACCAATTGCTTTGGGGCCTATTGTACTACTAAAATCCTACCCTTTATCATCCATCACCATTAACATGGCCTATTTGTCCCCGTCTGGCAACAGCATATTGCCTCTCACAACACAAAAGGGATGACCTACATTCTGTTCAGAAGATACTACAAACCATACCTCCACATCTCCATTGTCTTATGCTAGTGTAAGTGCTGTGAATGCCCATATCCAGGCTCCTAATCTAACTCACTCCCCGTCCAGTTCAGCATTGCATTGCAATGCTACAAAATCTCCAAGTTTGAGGCCTTAGCTGGGCCAAAACTGCCCCCTCTTTGCTTCACTCACTGTGCTAATGATGCAAAAAAGGTCTAGATGAACTTTCCTCGACTACTCTAGATTGAAGACTTATATGCACTTTATTGTCTTCCTCACATCCTTGTCTAACATTCCCATCAATTGCTTGAGAGTCCTTTAGTAGCTCTCAGCTAACTAGAAACTCACACCACAGCCTGAGAATCCTTTGGACCAATATGCCTCTTTTGACTACTTGCTTTGGCCCTTTAGCAAATAACCAATGTGGATCTTCTGCCCACTATCTCACAATGTTATGCCTAGGTTGGATTGCAAGCAAACTCTGCTTGAACATAAGTCTCCACGGTTGGTTACCTGGTTGGAGGCCCAGTAAGAGAATCTTGTATTGTAATGCCTTTGCCATGTCACTCGGGTTGATAATTCCAAGTCCTCCTAACACTCTTGGGCGTGCTATGGACTGCCACACAACCTTTGCCATGATTCGCCCTGTGGCACACCCTGCAACACATATTTATGTACCATTGTGCATACCTTTTTAAGAGTGTGTTCAAGAACTGGCCAGATCAAGAGGTGGTACCAAATATTGGGCAAGATGACACTCCTGGCCACAGCCACTCTCGTTGGCAAACCAAGTATCTTAGAAGCCCATTTCTGTATTGATGTTTGTATCTTCCGGAGCAGGGTGTCATCCTGAAGTGTTGTGCTGAATCTTGTTCCAACCTGAATCCCTAAGTATCTGGTGTCTTCCTTTGGTTTAAGCCACTAGAAGCCAATATCTTGACCCCAAGATTTTATGCCTGGATCGCTGGAGCTAAGACACCAAGGGGGAGCAATAGATATTTGGCTTGACACAAGATTAATCACCTTTTATTCAGATGGCTTAAATGATGTTTGTAGATTGTTTCATGTCAAAAGAAAAGGTTTTTATTGATGATGGGGTGGCGAATACACTTCTAGAGCTTTTGCAGTGTTATGTGAGAAAGTAGGAATCCAGAGATAAGTCACAGTCCCATATACTCCTTGGATGAACGGGGTGGTTGAAGGCTTCAACTGCTATGACAGCTATGACTCATCTCTCCTACCAAGCTTTTGGGATTGTACTGTGGTTACAGAAGTGTATGTCCTAAATAAGATGTTAACCATAGTACTTGAACAGGCATGGGGAAATAACTTCGTAGATTTGGCTGTTGCTCATATCCCAGACGAGAGGCATAAATTGGATGTGAAGTCCAGTGTCTTCATCAGCTATGATGACATTTATAAAACTTATCAATTGCTGGACTTGGATTGCTGGATTGAGCTGGTTAGCATACATGTGGTGTTTCATGAGAATCACATGTACTCTCAACTTCACGACAAAGCTGTGTTACCTCCAGCTAGAGAACCTCCAGGCATTCCAGCATCTATGCCTCTGACTCCTTGGAAGGATGAAGACAAAGAGTTTCTAGTTTTGGCAGGTGTCTCTTCAGCAGAATTCTCGTGGTGCTTCAACTTCAGGGTAGAGTATTCAGCTACTGACTCTTCAGGGGAGAGCATACAATCAACAACTTCTTCACTCAGAGTGCCCCTAAACCCTTCTCCCAACTAAAGTGGATGGTGATTTACAACGAGCTAGCTGTGGTGCACCAGTGATACTAGATCCTCCTGCTCCTGAGCGTGTTAGGTGTTCCTGGTTTTATATATATCTAGGGGAACAGAGTATTATCAAGAGCTTGTTGAGAAGACACAGATACGAGTTTTAATCCTCGTCAAGCCATGTTTACTGCTGCTAAGAAACAGCTTCCTTCCACAATCCTTGAAGCTAAGACGTCTCCTCAAGCAGCATAATAGCTGGCAGTAGCCTGGCAGCTGTTAATCAAGCTCATCACAATCACCACAATCAGACATGGTTTCGTCCACATCATGTGGTATCCTTGAAGCTGATCTTGTGCATGAAGCTGGGTCCAGGTGGTGAGGTCGTGCGTTTCAAAGCGAGACTGGTCACTAGAGGCTTCACACAAATTGAGGGTATGGAGTTTACTCACTCTAGTAGTTACAGTGGCATCAAACAGGCTTTGGCTAGGTTCTAAGCATATGGACGTGAAGACACGAACTTCAAGAGGATCCAAGGTACATACAACAAACTTGCAAATTTGTTTGCATAGTCTCATGCTTTGTTGTTGGGCACCACAAGACTACCAAAACAAAATATAGATAGATAGATATAAGCTGAGAAAAGTTTTAAAACAAAGTCCCAAAGTAGCTAGATCTCTTGGTACGAGCAGCCATCATTCAAATGTGTCGTGAAATTTTCAAACAAATTAATGCCAATTCATTTCAGATTATCGAACGGCTAGGATTGTCCCCCTGGGTTTTGGGCCAGGTACAAGGAACCTCGGGGGTGTACATAAGATTCGTGAAGTTGATTAGGGGTTGTCGAGGGAGAAAGAATGGCGTCTTGGCATTCCAGCGCCTTGGCCGTGATCTATCAAATTCTCGGATGGTTTGCATTCACGGTGTGGTCGATCAGCTTCTATCCGCAAGTGCTGCTCAATTTCCGGCGAAAGAGGTACGCATTCGATCGCGGGAAGAATACTTCCTCGCTCCCTCCCCTTTGCGTTTTTTGCTTCCTTTTCTCGAGCTAGTTTTCGATTGCTTGCAGCGTCGTGGGGCTCAACTTCGATTTCCTGTTGCTCAACTTCACCAAGCATTCCTCGTATCTCATCTACAACGCCGCCGTCTTCTTCAGCCCTGTCGTCCAAAGGCAGTACCACGACAAGTATGGCGCTGATGAGGTGCGTAATTGAGCAACAGACGAAGAACACTGAATCGTTTTTTCCGTTTTTTCACCTTCCAGATGATTCCAGTTGCTCCAAACGACGTTGCTTTCTCGATCCATGCCGTGCTCCTCACAGGATTCACTATCCTGCAAGTTTTCCTGTATGAGGTAAGAAAGAAGAAGAAGGTGACAAGCTTACGTTTGTGTCGCTTTAGAGAGGAGGACAAAGGGTGTCCAAGGCCGGAGCTTTGGTGTCCCTGGGAGCTTGGCTAGCCGGATTGATCTGTCTCATCGTAGCATTTCCCAGCGGCCGCTGGCTGTGGCTCGTCCAAGTTTTCAAGTAAGATCCAATTCTCTTTCTGTGAACATTCTTGGCATGAAAAATCCTTGCGCAGCATCATACAACTGGTGATGACAGCGATCAAGTACATCCCTCAGGTAAACTTCCCTGCAAATCACATCACACAGAGTGTTAACAACACCGTTTTCATGCGATTAAAACTCAGGCCTGGATGAACTTCAGGAGGAAGAGCACCGTTGGCTGGAGCATAGGAAACATTCTCCTGGACTTGTCGGGTGGAATCGCCAACATTCTCCAGATGGCCGTGCAATCCATCGACCAACGTAAGCCTTTCCAGTTTTCGTTCTCGTTTAAAGATCTGGCTCTCCAATCGCAGACTCCACCGAGAACTTCTCCGGGAACGTTGGCAAACTGGGACTCTCGCTGGTATGTTTGCTCTCGGTACTGTGATTCTAATCTTTCGCGTTCTCTGTAGGAAAGTATCGCCTTCGACATTCTCTTCGTCTTCCAGCACTACTTCCTCTACTACGAAGCTGACAAGGTCGAGGAGAATCCCGCTAACACCTACGAAGCCCTGGAGAACGATCCAGAGCAGGCCAAGACCAGCGAAGAGCATCCCAAAAATCCGTGAGAAAGAATGGCTGCGAAGTCTCTTTAGCGGCGATTGTATATATGATCGTTCGGTTCCTACAAAAAGAGGGAGCAATATGAAACCACGATGATAATCTTTCATCACACCTTTCGGTGCGCCTTTGCCACTTCCTCTTCTTCGTCGAGATCTGATAGCGGGTCATAGCTCTGATCTTCCTGGACGAAGGCTGTCACGAGAGCCGGTTCCGCTGGCTTGCTTTGCTGCGACGAAGAGGACGAGACACAGAACTCGCTAAACTTCTCAAGAACCTGGTCTAGCTCGTCGTTCACGGCCAGTGCCTGGAAGAGTATGGGGTCGCCCTCGCCAGCTCTTTGAGCTACTTGCTGCACTCTACGCTGCGCTTGCTTGCATTGCTCGACCAAAGACATGGTAAGCTCGTCCTGGAACATCCAGGAGAAGGCATAATATAAAAACCAAACGAAAAGGCTTTGGAAACACTCACTTTGGAAACATCCTGGTGCTGATTGGAGGATGTTAGTACGTTTGAGAGAACTTCGACGCTGTTCTTGGCAACGTCCAAAGTGGCACTGTCCGAAAGACGTCCCATGTTGATCACGCTAGCCCCGGAGAAACCACTCGCGCTATCCGGCAGAGAAGGAGCCGAAGGTGACGATTTGGGCGTAAAGATGGGAGACAAGCTCGAAGGGTCGCGGCCAGGAAATCTCACTCCCCGTGCTCTCATGCTCTGGAAAAGAAGTTAAAACTAAGCAACCGAGCTCTAGAAAATAAAAGCTCTTTCCTTCTCTTACCTTGTAAGTCTCCTCGTAGACGGGCAAGTAGCCAAGCTCCTCGGTAGCCTCACCCCAGGCCTCGATCATCGCCAGCGCCTTGTCCCGGCAGCGCGGCCACGCCTGTGGATCCTCGGCCATCCTCACCATGTCGTCCAGAATCCTCTCCGACGCAATCTCTGAGAACATCTTCTCGTGGTTCTTGACGCACGCCTCCAGCAGCGCCAGCGCCAGCAGCTGAACGCCCGCATTCTTGTTCGCGATCCTCTTCTTGATCCCGCGCGCCACGTCCTGCCCGGAGACCCGGCCATCGCCAAGCATGTCGCAGATTTCCATGAACCTCCCCCAGTCCGGCGATCGCAGGTTCGCGGCCGTCGCCTCCTCGATCATCCGCTCGCTCGGCGATGGCGGCTGGAACAGCTCCTTGACCCTACCTCCCACCACGGTCATCTGCGCCGAGACCTTGCGGCCGACCTCGGCGCCGCCGATCTTGAGCTTGCTCCCCATCGCAGTGAATCGCTCCTTGAGATTCTCGGGGATTTCCATAGCTCTCGCCCGCCAAGCGCACAAGAAGAAAAAACAATATGACTCACTGGTCTTTGCCCTCATTCAAACAACGGTATATTCCTGCACTGACGGCAGATTCTTGTAACAGAATATTCTATAAAGTAAGCAAGTTTTACTATACACGTTGGAAGATCTTCCTGTTTTAAGCTTCTTCCGACACTGTCACCATGTTTCTCTGCACGGCCGCTTGCAACGCAGCCTCAGCTTCTACTCGATCGAGCTCCGCTTCATTTAGATTCTGCGAAAGAACAAATCGAAACAAAGGTTGTTAGTGAAACTCTCGAGAATTAAAAACAACGCTAAGGGCTCAAGAAGAAACTTGGAAGAGTAACTTAGACCACTTAGCTCAAGTATGAAAAACCAAAAAAAAAAAAAACTCTAAGAAGCTAACTTAGAACCAATTAGCTCAAAAATGAAAAACTCAAAGAAAAGCATTAAGAAACTTAGAACCACTTACCTCAAGAACAAACTTGGAAGAGTAACTTAGAACCACTTACCTGTTGGAAGTGATTGAGCAGCCTCTTCATGTTCTTGAGCTCTCTGGTGATATCAGACGCTGCCTTGGACTGCTCCTTCAATTTATCCATCTGGTTCTCGAGAAGGAGAGAAGAAAACTTATGTTAGCGACGGACGAGCGGCTTGAGTACCTGACGCTTGAGTGTTTGTTTTTGTTCCACATTAGATGAGACGACGCCCTCAAACTTTCTAGCCAGAGAGGCTACCTCGGCATTTACCTGGTGGATGCTTCCCATCCTCGTCTCGGCCGAGTCGATGACGGTCCCCATCACGACCATCTGCTGCTTGAGCTTCCCCATCTCGCTCTCCGCCGCCGAGAGCTCGTCCTCGAGCTTCCGAGCCTTGGAGACCGAGCCTTCTCGCTCTCGCACCACCTTTGTAAGCTCCCCCTCCGCGAAGCTCGCCTTGTCCTTGAACTTCCTGGCCACCTTCGTCTCCTTGGCGAGTGCGTCCTGGAGGATGGCCTTCTCCGTCTCCAGCGACGCCACCTTGACGTTTGCGTCTTGCAAGTCCTTGGACAGAGCGTTGAGGTGCTTGCGGAGGTCGTTCATGGCGTCCATGGCCTTGGAGAACTCGGACCTCAAGCTCTGGACGAGTAGCTCCTCCCTGGCCAGAGCCTTTTGCGTCTCCATGTACTGCTGCTCCGCCAGTGCCACCTTCTTCTTCTCGTCGTTTAGAAGAGCCAGGGTGCCGTCGGCCGTCTGGCGGACGTCTTCCAGCTCCTCTTGCACCTTCTTGTTCACCAGGAACGTTTCTTTCAGCTTCTCGCTCAGGGACTTCACCTCCATCGACGACGCCTGGAAGCTCGTCCGCGTGTTGTCCAGCTCCTGCTTCATCTGGCTCGTCACCAGTTGCTCTGCTTGCAGTGACTCTCGCAGCGATTTCAGCTTTGTCTCCGTCATCGCCTTGCTCTCCTCCTTTTGCTTCCTCAGGGACTCTATTTCCTTCTGGTAGGACGTCAGCTCGGCGCCCAGTGCCGACGCCTCGTTCGTCTTCGCTCGAAGGCTATTGACTGCGGAGTTCAGATCTTCTGTCAACTTTTGCACTGACTCGTGCTCCCGTGCCACAATTCGCTCCAGTTCTTCCACTTGCTGCTGGAAGTTCTCTATGACGAGGCCGGATTGTTTAGCCTCGGCACGAGCGGCATCCAGCTCCAAGTTTGCTGCCTGTACTTCGCCTTCCTTGGAAGCTAGTGCCGCATTTACAACTTGAAGCTGCTCCTTGCTCACAGCTTGGAGCTCAGTCAGTTCCTCCTGTGCTTTGGCCAAGCTTTGCTGCGCTTGCTCTGCTCTCGCTGTTGCCTGCGCGAGACGTTCCTCCAAATCATGCACAGTGTCCCCTCTCTCCTCCAGACATGACTGCGATACGATCAACTCTTTCACGAGGTTTTGTATCCTGTCCTCGGCGTCGACCAACGCAGTTCTCGTAGTGAAAATGTCTGACCGTAGCTCTTGCTCGGTGTTTTCCTGTTCCTTAATGGTTGCCTCTAGACCAACGAGCTTTTCTTCTCTCTCTCGTATTTGAACTCCTCCATTCCGGACTTCGGTCTCTAGACCTTGCCTTCGCTGCTCTTCCTGCACAAGCTTGTCTTCGACGGCTTGCACACTGCTCTCCAGGGCCTGGATTGTTTCTCTGTAGGCCTTCACCTTCTTGTCAAGGTTCTGATTGACGTTTTTCTGGCTGTCCAGCTTTAGCTGCATCTCCTTTGCATTCGACTTGAGGATGGTAATTTCGTTGCAAAGTTCTACACGTTCTTCTTCTGATCCGGTCAGCTTATTCATAAGATCCGACTTTTGATCAGCCAACTCCGTATGATGTTTTCTCTTTATGTCGATTATAGCAGCTTGTGATTCTTCCAATTTCGAGTTGGCCTGGTCGCAACGGCAGATGAGTGTCCATGTCTAGTGACACAAATAGAAATAGCATGTACCTCTGCTAACGCCATCTTCGTAGCTTTTTTAGCTTGACCTTCCAACCAATATAGCGCACCAAGAACTCCCGATCCGACAACACCGAATAGATTTAAAAATCCTAGCGGTCCACTCTCCGGAGAGCTTTTCTGGAATTTAAACACAGTGAGTCAAGCATCGGCAAGTTCTTCGATTACCTCTTCGAGAGCTGTGACTGCCTCTACGACTTTCTCATCCGAGGAAGATAAAACCGGAGGAGTGGCCGCAACTTGCAACTCCGGAAGTGCTGCAATATCGGATGAGACGCGCTCCACTTCCTTGCCGACTGATAAATCTTCAGGGGCAGAGCTCGAAACGCTAGCTATAGCTTCCTCGTTGACAGATGGAGCAGGGGTAACGGTCTCCACTTCCTTGCCGACTGATAAATCTTCACTTGAAACGCTAGCTATAGCTTCCTCCTTGAGAGATGGTGCAGTGGTACTGGCAGGAGTTTCAATGCTTGCCAATATCTCCGCCCTGCTGGCAATTCTCCTCTCGATGGATTGGAGCATGTCGAGCCTCAGTTTCTCGGATTCTGGAACCCAAAGCAAACAAAGTCAAGGAAAATCGAAAAAAGAAGCACTGACCCTCTATGTGTGGAACGTCGGATTTTGCTCCTCCCGAGATAAGCAGCACTGGCGACACCAACGCGACGAGCCCCATGACAGACCGCCTGGAGAAGCTCCTGTTGCCCTCCGATTTCGCTGTGGAAGCAGCTCCTCTTCTCTCGCTCTTGGCCGAGACGCTGAAGGATTTCCTGGATCTGGCGCTCCCCGGCGGCATCGCGAAGCTCTGCGCATCGTAATCCTTGCGAAACTCCGACATCCGGAGCCTGTGAACTGTGGAGCACGGGCACGATGCCGCAAATGCGTTGCCAGCCATGGCCGCGATCATCTCGTCGTCCGCAATCACTTCTCAGCAGCCGCTCATACCTCGATCGATCGATCCATCCGCACGAGAAAATTGGAGCGAGACTTATTCCCGATCGCCCGGAATGGGTCAGCCCTAATAAAATTTCTACCCCTGCAGTTATACAACGGTAAAAGACCGAATCACGGCCGTCCAAAGTACCATCGTACGGCTCCAGTTTTCCACACGTTGGCATTTGTTTCTCATGGTCCAGGTTTTTCGTAAGCAAGGTGCCACGTGTCAGCGAAATGTCCAGCCACGTGGAGATTTCTATCTGGATGAAGCGATGACGATAAAGGTTATTCAAACACGATGGAGCCAGCCCTAAACATTTTGGTTTTAATGGAGGAGACTATACGCATTTGCGATGGCGAGAGCGCCAGTGATCTCCGCCAGAGCCTCCAGCGGCTCAATGCGTGCCTCTTTCCGGTCAAGTACAAGGACACTTACTACCGGGATGCCGTGCTCGCGGGGAGCTACACAAAGCTAGGTCAGTCGATCTCGGTCGATCGATCAGTCTATGGATCGCATTTGCGTGTTCTATCACTGCTTGCATAGATATATCGTCGGATCGTGTATCTTTCCAGCGAATTCTATTTTCCAGTCTCTAGTTTTTCTAGTGTTTTCTTCTTCCTGGGTTCGTGCATTCTTGCAAGACTTTTTCTTCCTTTGCTAGACGTGTTCTTTTGACACGGTTCTTTTCGTTGAGATCCAAGCTCCTTTCTTCGTTTTCTTCGTGCCTTCCAGCTTTTTACAATGACACTTGATATATTGTGGGATCGTGTATCTTTCCAGCGAAATCACTCTTCCAGTCTCTAGTTTTTCTAGTTTTTCTTATCTTCTTCATGATTTTTCTTCCTTTGCGACACAGTTCTTTTCTTTCAGATTCAAGCTCCTTTCTTACGTTTTCTTCGTGCCTTCCAGCTTTTTACAAGGACGCTTGCGTTGGCAACATTGCCTGTAGGCTTGAAGAAACAGGCCCTTATATCAGGGTCTACATTATGACGCTGGGAGTTCTTCCATCTTATCGAAGAATGGGAATAGGTGATTCAAGTTTATTTCGTTGGTTTATTTTTTGATTTGCGAGTTTCTATCTAGGCTCAAAGCTCCTCCAAAGTGTGCTGGGCTTGTGCCAACAAGACCCGCGCGTTGTCGATGTTTACTTGCACGTACAAACGAACAACGACGAAGCCATGGAGTTTTACAAAAACTTCGACTTCCAGATTGTGGACACTATCTTCAACTATTATATCCGACTTGATCCACCTGATTGCTACGTTCTCTCGCGACGCTTGAGATGACTCCATTTACTATTCTTTCTTCCTTTGAAAGTAAATCAACACCGATACTGTAGGTGGCCGTCACTGGCAACTTTTGTTCTAACAGTGCTCGCATTTTTTTCAGACAATGAAATGTAACTCTACGCCACTACGTGGACTTTTTCACTTGAATACAAAAGCTATTTCCTTGCGAATTCCGTCGGGAGCGCAAATTAAATGTAAGAGACTCAAGAAATGAGTTTGGTCCAGATTATATGGATGCCAGTCTGTGGATATGGCTTCTGGTTTCTGCCTCGTCCATCCTACTCGTACATGCCGAAGTTTACATTGCGTTGTTAGACGGTGAGCCTGTTGTTCATAACAAGGCAACAACCAAAATCGATAGCTCAAGGTTCTCAATTTCTTAAAGTGATAAAGCAGGTTTACGAGTTTTGTTCCTTTGTGCAGTGATCAAGTCCAGATTTATTCCTCATACTTAACCGCTCAACATGATTTTCTACTTGCGTCCACTTTCGGGGAGGAATCGTACACGAAACTATACAGTTACAGCCATCTGCTTCATGGATTTGCTGTGGATATCACGGAGGAACAAGTAAGAAGAGAATGGATCATATGCGGATTCTTGACAAATTCAATCCTGTTACAGGCAGCTAAGCTCAAATCCACCCAGGGTGTGAAGCTCGTCACCAAAGAAAGAATCATGCGAGCAGTGACAACGTACACTCCAAAGCTTTTGGACCTCCAACACGGTGCGTGGCCACAACTTGGCGGCCTAAAACATGCTGGTGAAGGAATTGTCATTGGCATTGTCGACACGGGCATCAACCCCGATCACCCAAGCTTCGCGGGGAACTCGAAGAAGCCTTTCCGTCCAGTTCCGCACTACAAGGGAAAATGTGTGTCCGGCCATGGTTTTCCGGCGAGTGCTTGCAACGGGAAAGTAATTGGAGCTCAGTTGTTCGGAAAGTCTGTGGGCTACTCCAATGGAGATGGCACAGCGTTCGATGCTGACGGACATGGAAGGTGCAGTATTAACTTCAGAAACTTTCCAGTTCTCTAACTTGATATAATCTCGCAGCCATGTAGCGTCAACTGCTGGTGGCAACAGCGGCGTTCCGGTGGTGGTCGATGGTGTCAACTACGGACTTGCGAGCGGAATGGCACCTCGTGCACGGATTGCAGTGTACAAAGCAGTTTTTGGTGAGAACGGATATGTTTCAGATATAATTGCAGCCATTGAACAGGTATGAAGGGCAAGTCTCCCTTTTTATAACACTATGCAGGCTGTTCGAGACGGAGTTGATATACTGAACCTGTCACTGGGCTCGGAAAATGTAACTGATGCGACTTCCGTTTTTATGGACCCGTTTGAGCAAGCGCTGCTCTCTGCTGTTCACGCTGGAGTTTATGTGGTACAGTCCGCCGGGAATTTGGGCCCGGCCAAGGGTTCAGTCAGGAGCTTTAGCCCGTGGGTGATGACTGTGGCCGCTGGCAACACTGGACGGCACTACAAGGCGTCAGTGCAGCTTGGAAACGGGAAGACAATTGATGGTCAAGGATTATCACGTAAGTATGGCCATGTTAATGGTTACGTTTCTTTGCTAACATATAGATACAGGTCCGACTCCTCAACGTAAGAGCTACCCGATTCTCATGGCGGAGGACTCGTATGTTGGAAGCAACTATTCGGAAAAGAGATGCGTCGATTCTTCTCGATTTAACCGGTCTCTAGTTCGCGGTACAATTTTTGTCTGCCAATACAGCTCCCTCGACAGCATCAGCATTCCAAACGTTCTCAGTGTTGCGCACGCAGCGAAGAACCTGAGTGCTGCCGGATTCGCAATGCTGCTGGATCCGTCGTCCCTTTACGATGGATACATGACATCCCTATATTCTCTGCCAATTCCGGGGCTCGTCATCAACACTGTTAATGCTAGCTCGGTGAGCAAACGCTTTCTTCGACCCCAGAATTACTAACGTGTTCTTATTTCAGGAGTTTCTGGATTACTACTCCTCAGACCAAAAAAGCTGTTGCTAGGATCAATAAGAACTCCGTCGAATACAACAGGACCGTCCCGATTGTCACTCCATATTCGTCTCGCGGGCCTAATCTCTTGAACAACAAGGGAGAACCCGTCGATGTCCTCAAGCCAAACATTCTTGCTCCTGGTGAAGGGATATGGGGAGCATGGTCTCCATCAGCACCCGTGGAAACAGGTAGAAGTGCCATTTTCAGTTTCCAGTTTCTCTAAGTCTTGTTTTTCCAGGCTCTAAGTTTGTGCTCTGCTCGGGAACAAGCATGGCAGCTCCTCACATTGCTGGCGTCGCGGCGCTGATCAAGCAAAAGCACCCGAGCTGGACTCCGGCCATGATTTCTTCGTCCATAATGACTACTGCTTCGGTCGTAGACTCCAAAGGTGGTATCATCCAGGCCGTCACTGATCACCTGGTGATTGGAACACCTTTCGACTTTGGAGCCGGATTTGTTAATGTATCAGCAGCACTGGATCCCGGCATTGTCTTTGACGCAGGTAAAGAGAGTAGAAAACTTCTAAGTTCTTCTCATTGATCCTTCAAGTGATGGTCAGGTTATCAAGACTATGTGAGCTTCATGTGCTCGCTCAACACTACGCAGGCCTGGAAAGATGCAGTCAAGCAGGCAACGCACTCCGATTGCTCCATAGCTATGGACGCCGCCTATAATCTCAACTCGCCCTCCATCACCGTCTCCAGCTTGAAAGGAAACGTTGTCGTCCAGAGAAGAGTTTCCAGCGTGAGCGACGTCGCGGAAACGTACACTGCTGCGCTGGTCCGGCCCGAAAACGTCACGGCGGACATCGTGCCGGCTACTTTCACTCTTGGACCGCATCAGGAAGCGTCATTCGAGCTCCGCCTCGGCCTCACGGATGGAAAGCTCCTCGCGGACTACGTTTTTGGCCAACTTATGCTGGTTGGAGATAGAGGACACTCTGCCCGAGTGTTTATAACTGTGGCATCCAAGTGACGAGTAAACTCCAGGAAAGATTGATTTGCAAGTTCTCGCAATAAAAGGTGAACTACCTCGAGAGATTTGTTCCGAAACTCCTATTCCAGAGATACATTTCGCTTGGTGTAAGCTTGGGCTTCCTTGATTTCTTCTGGCGAGAGATTCAATCCCGGTGTTTTCTCGAGGAGCTCCAAGCGATCAGCTTCCACTTGCTCGAGTTTCTTCCGGCAAGCTCTCGTGCTTCCTGGAGCTCCGTTAGAGCGCTACTAGAACGAAGTGAAGCTCTTACCAGATAGAATGAGGAGATTAAAGAGCGTTGGAATGTTCTCGATGGCACGTATGAAAGTTATGGAGCTCCAAATCTTGGTGTACTCCTGGCGGCTGCATCGAACCACGACGATGTTCGTGACAGGATTGAAATACTTCACTGCCGCCAAAGAATAAGGAGTTACACGAAAGATAGATCCATGAGCGAGTACCTTGGAGGTAATTGGCGCAAATGGCAGCGCCGTAGAGGCCAAAATTGTCTTGCACGCTCTTCTTGATCGCTCCAAAGACGTGCTTCTGCGCGAAGCGATGCTGCTTCTTCCTGGCGGCGTCGATTAGAAGCTCCAGCACCAGGTAGCGCAGCTTGCCTGCAACCATCTCCCGAAAACCCTAGAAAAACCCTAAACTATGATTCTATGAAGAACATTAGAATGTTTCTTATTGCCTATCGAGAAAACCATCCAAGAAGAGAATCCAACCAATTCTTCGCGGCATCCGACCATGGGTGCCACCATTTCCTAGCCTTGTACAACGCAATCGACTCTCTCACGTCCTCCACAGTGGACATCGCGACTAGAACCGGGACCAAATCGATGAGCACTCGATCCCTCCGGTGATCTCCCGCCCCAAAGTGAGGAACAACGATCCCATTCCCCGGATACCCACTAAACGGCAGAGGAGAGTCGTCAATCCAGATCGTCCTCTTGAGATCGACCTCGGCAAGCCCAAGAATCCCCGGCTCCAGGTTCTTGATGTTCTTCGGGCACGAATCGTATCCAATCCTGTGCGACACCAGCTCTTTCGATGGATCGATCACGTCGAAGACCTTGTTCACGACGATCAACGGGGAGTGGCTGAAGACGATGATGTGGAAGTGTGAAGATAGATCACGCAGGAATTTGTCCAGCCCTGGGCGCTTGGTGACGAGGAGCTCCTCCGTGTATCGTGGAGAGTGGGGAATCTTAAGCGCGAAATCGTGCTTGAATTTGGGATCTTTGCATACCGGGCTCTTGATGTTGCAAGAGGTGATGAGAGTGCCATCCATATCCAACACCAGCAAAGGTTTCTTTCCCTCCATCTCCACGAACCCTAAATCTGGAGAAGACCTATTTAACAGCTTTTATGACAGCTAATTAGTGTCTATCAAATCAACAGCTTAATATCGTTTTAAGCTACTAAATGATACTAAGTTAAACTAGAACCAATTACATACTTTAGCTCGCACAGTGACACCATGATGCGAGCACGTAAACAAAAAGTTTTAGACTAAAAGGATTGCATCAGCCAGGAGTCGAACCCGGGTCTATTGCTTGGAAGGCAATTATCCTAACCGTTGGACTACTGACGCATTAATAATCTTGCTTAGATTAAAATGATACTAAGCTGGAAAACAAAAAACAATATGATTATCTTAGACAAAAAGGTTAGCCAGATAAATCCTAAACAAAAGGAATTGTCAGGATCAACACATCCTTTTTGTTGAAGGGCATCCCGACAATTCCTTTTGTTTAGGGTTTATCCGGCTAACCTTTTGTCTAAGATGTTTTTTGTTTTCCAGCTTAGTATCATTTTAATCTAAGCAAGATTATTAATGCGTCAGTAGTCCAACGGTTAGGATAATTGCCTTCCAAGCAATAGACCCGGGTTCGACTCCCGGCTGACGCAATCCTTTTAGTCTAAAACCTTTTGTTTACGTGTGCGTGGTTCTAGTTTAGCTTAGTATCATTTTAAGCTAAGCAAGAATGTTAATGCGTCAGTAGTCCAACGGTTAGGATGATTGCCTTCCAAGCAATAGACCCGGGTTCGACTCCCGGCTGACGCAATTCCTTTTTTGCCTCCACGTTTTTAGGGTTTATCTAGAATGCATGGCTGCGGCACTGGTGCGCGCCTCCATTACGTCCATCCCATCTCCCTCCTCCTCCTGGCGCAAGCGCTCCTCTGGGAGCACACTCAAGCTCGAGGTAAGCAACAATCCAGACCCGCCGCCGATTGTCGATAGCAGGATCCTCGCCTGGCTCAAGAACAACGGCAAGGACGCCTCCTCTTCCACATCGTCCTCCACCGATCTCGACGATCTGGTCGCGATCTTCTCGAGCTCCAGCAGCGAGGAGCGCGCCAGCGCCCTCGACAAGCGATGGAAGGAGGACGAGAAGAAGAAGAAGAAGAAGCTCACGGCGGCGATGGTGGCCAGCGTCGTCGAGTCCCTCCCGGGCGTGAACCAAGCCGTGGCATTCTTCCACTGGGCCGGCGACCGATTCGATCACAACGAGCACACCTACAACGCGCTGCTCAAGCTCCTGCTCGCCTCCAGCGGCGCCGAGCACGAGGCCCTCCGCCTCTTCCTCGCCATGCTCGACGCCGGCTACCCCTCCGACTCCTCCACCTTCGCGGTCGTGCTCCGCGGCCTCCACGCCTCGGCCAAGCTCCGCCACCTCGGTCCCCTCCTCCTGGACGAGATCCGCGACCGCGGCCTCTCCCCGGACCCGGTCGAGCTCAACACCATCCTCGCCGAGCTGTGCGACGCCCGCGACACCACCACCGCCATGGCGCTCTTCGACAAGATGGCGGAGCTGGGCGCCGTCAACCACACCACGTACTACAACCTCATCCACCCGCTGTGCAAGGCCCGGCTCCTGGACGAGGCCATGGGGCTGCTGCTCGACATGAAGTCGCGCGGCATGAACCCGGGGACGCTCCTCCACAACGTCGTCATCGGCGGGCTGTGCCGCGCGGGGCGCCTCCGCCACGCGCTGGGTGTGTACCGCCAGATGAACGACGCCCACCCCCCGGACTTCCTCACGTACACCAAGCTCGTCCACGGGCTGTCCAAGGCGCGCCGGCTGCGCGACGCCGTCCAGGTGCTGCAGGAGATGGTGTCCGCGCGGCACGTCCCGGACAACACCACGCTCACCGTCGTCGTGCAGTCGCTGTGCCTGGGTGACCGCGTCGACGACGCGCGGGAGCTCGTCGAGGAGATGCTCCACCGCGGCATGGCGGCGAACGCGATCACGTACTCGGCGCTGGTGGACGGGCTGTGCAAGTGCGAGCGGCTGGACGAGGCGGTGGCGCTGGTGGAGACGATGGCGGAGCGCGGCTGCGCGCCGACGGTGGTGACTTACAACAGCATCATCACCGGCTTCTGCCGCGCCAGGAGGGTCGACGAGGCGCACGGCTTCATGGAGCAAATGGTGGCGGAGGGCTGCCACCCGGACATCATCACCTACACGGCGCTCATCGGCGGCTTCTGCAAGTCGCGCGACGTCGGCCGCGGCCTGGAGCTGCTGGGCGAAGTCACCCGCCGCGGCTTCACCCCGGACATCGTCACGTACTCCACCGTCATCGATGGTCTCTGCAAGGCGGGCCGGCTGCGCGACGCCGTGGACATCTTCGAGGAGATGAGCTGCGCGCCGACCGCCATCACCTACAACTCGCTCATCGGGGGCTACTGCCGGGCCGGGGACATGGACGAGGCGATCCGGCTGCTCGGGAAGATGGTGGACGACAAGTGCGCGCCGGACGTGGTAACTTACACCACGCTCATGTCCGCCTTCTGCAAGATGGGCCGCCTGGACGACGCTTACGAGCTCTTCCAGCAGATGGTTGCCAACAAGCTCAGCCCCGACGTCGTCACCTTTACGAGCCTGGTGGACGGCCTGTGCGGCGAGGGCCGGATGGAGGACGCGCTAGAGCTGCTCGAGGAGATCACCCGCCGGGGCTGCCCGCCGACCATCTACACGTACAACTGCGTCGTCGACGGCTACTGCAAGGCCAACCAGGTGCGCAAGGCCGAGGAGCTGGTGGCGGACTTTCGGAGCCGCGGCTTCGTCCCCAACACCGTGACTTACAACATCCTCGTCGCTGGCTGCTGCCGGGCCGGGAGGACGGATCAGGCGCTCCAGTACCTGGACCAGCTCAACTCGGAAGGCGGCCCCTGCCCGACCAGCGTCGCCATGTACGCTATCATTCTCGACGCGCTGTGCCGGGACGGGCGGACGGACGACGCGGTCCAGTTCTACGAGGAGATGATCCAGAGAGGATATGTCCCTGCGGCTGCCACCTTTGCCACGGTTGTCTTTGCGCTGTGCAAGGCCCACCAGCCTCAGCAGGCTCACGAGCTTCTCGAGGAGATGATCAAGTATGGCCACACGCCGGGGCCTGGGACCTGTGACGCTGTCGTCTCTGCCTACTGCCGGGCCGGGATGATCCAAAAGGCCGACGAGCTGGCCAGCGAGCTCAGGCTTTACACGGACAAGAGTTCTTCCTAACTGGAAGAACACCAGAAAAAAGCGCATCATTAAAGAATCGAAAGAATAGTGTACCAGTTTGAGATTAGTTGCGAAAAGAAAAACAATCGCGGCGCGGGATCAAGCTTTTTCCTTGTTCGCGCGCCCCGCCGGCCTCAATGCAGTTGAGGCCGAAAGAATGAAATGCTAGCTAGAAGCTAAACAGGAACTTCCAAACAAGCTAAGTGGTGATCAACCAAACAATGAATTTGTACAGACGCACCTTGCGAGGATAAGCAATCGACCGATGATCACCTGGCCAAAAGAATGGTTAAAATCATCCCGTGCTACCTAGTGCGCTGGGACCTGTGTGCTTGAGAATAGTCCTTGCAGCTATGCTCAAACCTCGAGTAAGAAGAGCTCTCTACCGACCGTCTCAAGCCATCCGCATGAGTGCTGCCCCTGGAGACGAGAATGTTCTCGCCGGAACCTTCAGCACCCCTGAAAGGTGGCAAGGACGGACCTTTCACTTTGAATCTTGGAAACACCTTCCTGGGCCTGTCCCGGTCTGCGTCTAAACCAGCTGCTCCCTTTACACTATCTACACTCGGCCTCGTTCCATCCCACCTTCCTAGCTGATGACGAGTGTTAGAATCCGCAGCAGAGCAGTGCGACCTGTTAGTTTTAATCCCCCTGTCCGCCTGGCAGTCAGTTGCTACAAAATCTTGGTCAGCTTGGGAATCGGACGTGGATGACAAACAAAATGACTGCTCTGCTGGTAGTGACTGGCTCCTAGGCCTTCCCGCTGGAAACGTTAGCAAGCCGCTATCCTGACAGGGCCTCTTCCGGGAGCAGCCTTTCTCTCTATGTCCATCTGCTTTGTTAATTTCCCGCTTTCCTAGGACGGAGCTATCTGTACTCTGATTAGCAGGATCCCGTCTAAAGAGACCTTCCAACTCTTCCGCTTGCGAGGGGGAAAGCATCCTCTTCAATCGTTGACAAGCCTGAACAGTCCACAAGTCAGCACAGCCACGTACAGCTAGCTCGTCGAACGAACCTTGTATGTCAGTGCCGAATGATTTGTATCATTGTCATTCACGCATACGAAGTGTAAATTCGAGACCTCAGTTCGCCATCTTCGTTTGATCTGTTCACAACAGAGTTTGTTTGACGCTCTACAGAACATAGAAAGATTACCTCTTCTACAGAACCCGAAATGTGAAGTTCTGAGATAATGTCTCTAAGCAGTAAAGCCGACTCTCCAGAAGATGCCCGCCAAACTTTAACCACGTGCTGCTGTTTGGCAACCTCTCCCTGCTGAATTCACTTAATCAAATAAAATCATAGCAAAATTTGAATTGATAGCTACCTCCACATTTTGAGAATTGAGTTCCTTCACGTCTTTTGGTTCCTTCTTGAAACATAGACTCAAACGATTTCTCTCATTGGTCCGCTTCGAAGGCATCGAGCGAACAGCAACTCCTGGTTTCTATAGCAACAAAAAACTAGATTAAAACAAAGAAATCAAATGACTTTGCACTTACAGGTGCCTTGTTCACACAAGTGTCCACAGATTTCTTTGCATCCGCGTCAGCGTCACTATTCGTAGTGACGACTGAAGAACCAAAAATGATAGGTGACTCCAAGTCTGGGGCATCGATGTTGTCAAACGGCACATAACCACTGTATTCTTCGCCGTCAAGAAAATCTTCCTCCAGTAAAGCCGAATCGAAAACCATCCCATCGTCAACAACAGGTAGAGGTGAAACGACAGTTTGAAATCGAAGTGCCACCGCGTCCATCTTCTTGATATCCCTGTGCAAAAAGACCTGCCTTTCTTTTCCGCATTGGCACTTGCGCATTTCTTGAGCTGTAGTCAGAAATTTGTAAGAGATGCATAGAAAAAGGAAGAACAAAACGCTTACCATGATTTAAGCATGTCGGCTCTGGAAAACATTTGCACGTCAAAAAAGAGACGTAGCACATGTGTTTGCATAGACTGCAAGGAATATTGATAGGAGCAGCCAACGACGTGTAGATTGCGGCACCTCGTTCTTTCAACAGCCATCTGACCTTGTGCTGAAAGGCCATCAGCTGCACGAAGGCAGATTTGACCGGCATTTGCATTAAGCTTTCGGCATTTTGTTTTTTTTCGTTGTCTGAAGCATCCAAGCCTTGCGCTTCTTTCCAGAGAAGCTCTTCATGGGGCAATAGCGGCATACGATTCAGCAACGAATAACGACGACAAGCAGCAGCACCGAAAGGGAACCAGTCTGCCATAGCGAAATTAACTGCCTCTCCACAGTTGAAACCTGGCACAACAGCAAAGAAGACAACGTCATAAACGCCATTAAAGTCTTTTCAAGTAAACTAACCGTGGCTGAAACCAGCGTGATATGAACGCGGAAAGGTGAGGACATATTCTCCTGGAGCTTGCACAGCCTTATAGACCGGTACACCATGCTTGACGAGAATGTTCGGAGGAAACATCGTTGTTTTTCCAATAAGCAGATCATAAGCAGCCCCTTGACCATGTTCCGACAGCAGCTTCTCAGCGTATATTTCTTCCTTAACTACACTCTCGAATCTTTGAGCTGCCTCTCCTGGAACACCGTACCATGTTTTTGGGGCCCCACAGTGATGATAGTTGATGCTGAATTAAAAAAGAAACGCATAAACAGCGCGAAAGGTAGTTGCAATCCATCTTACCTGTAAAGATAATGATCCTCAACATGCCACGCAAACATACTGAACAGCATCCCAATATACAGCATAGGTTCAGTGACTCCCTGCCAAGATTGACAACCGAGTCAAAAACCACAAAACCACAGAATTCTACATGCTTACGGGAATAATTGTCTCGAGTAGACGCAATATAGATTTTGGCAGAGAAGAAACAATCTGAAAGGAAGAGCAATTAAAAAAAAACACTCTTTCCAAGTCCTACCCGCCTACCTTCAAGTTCCAATTGCTGGAGGCTAAAGGGTCAGCAGGGCTCGAAGAGAAGGCACTGCCATCAACGTCACTGGCGTACTGAATGTGGTCAGAATTCCCGGCAAGCATCTCCTTCCAAAATTCGGCTTCGACAAACAAAGGTGGCTGAACAGCAGCAGTGGAAAACCTGCGCGAGTGGAACTTGTTGGCCATCTTCTCAAACTCCGAGAAAGTGTAGCGCCTGCAACATAACAGAAGCCTGTTAGCATTGTAAACTCCCAAGGCCGCCACAACACCACTTACTGCGCGCTTGTCAGAAATGTAACTTTGTTATTGTCACTATCCCAATCCGAGAGGCTCATGGGCTGGACTCGCGTGCTGAACTTAAACCCAGACTTTTCCTTCATGAGAACCCTGCCGGCCGGGACGGAAGGTAGAATTGGAGGAATGATCTTGCATATACCTGCGCGAAATCGACTTAGTAAAAATCATACGAAACAAAGGGGATGAGGAAGAGGAAGACACGCTAGAGGAATACGAAACGAACCATATTTCGAAGCCAGTGGAGAAATGCTGGAAATGTAAGCAAGGGGATCCTTGAACTCGTCGATTGAGGGAGTGAAGACGACGCATTGCGGAATCTGGGAGATCCAACTCACGTCACCGCCGAATCTATCCGCCTTGACGCTTTCGCGCTCGCCGCCATGCTCCAGAGGGGGCCAATTCCCGTCAAAGACTCTCTCCCTGTGACCCCGGAAGACGTTTTCCTGGATTTTGAGGGCATCCCCACCGCTCCTGGCCATAATCCCGCTAGCACCAATTCATCGCTCGATTCCCCGACGGCGCCGCGGCAATCCCCCCAAAATTTCCCCTCGCGAGCGCGATCCAGCTGACGAATCGGTTACCTGGACGCGCCGCCAGATTTCTCGGCGCCAGCGCCTGCTTCTCGCCGCCGAGCCACGCATCGCCGAAAGAAACCTAACCGATGCTTGCGTCGGAGGCGCGCATCCAAGCGGCAAGAGCAAGAATGACCGGGAGAGAAAGGGAAATATTTTTTACCTAGGAAGACTAGGGGCAAGGGAAAGGCGCAGGGCAATGCACGCCATGCTCGTCAAAAAAGGCGGACACTCCACACACACCGCAGCCGGCCGACGCGGTATGCCGCAAAACGCACACACACAAACGCACGAATGGAACAATGCCAGACGGCGGACGCAAACTGACGGCGTTTTAAACTCGCGGCGGGGGGCTGCCAACGGCCAGGGCTCGCCGCGCTGCCACGCGGACGGCGCCGATGGGGCTCCACACGGAATATGCGGCCAAACCCACGGTCGTTTTACCGGTTTGTATGCGCGTAGACGCTGACACGAGTCACAACACGGCGGGAGAAAGGAAGGAATCTCCTGCCAAACCGGCAGCGAATATCCCTCGCTCGCTACCTCTTCCTCTTACTTTAGCTGGAGAGTCGATCGAGATCCCCGTGTGTAGGAGATTAAAGACGAGCAGCTTAAACGCTTGATATAAAAAGCAAAAAAGTAACATTCTTTGCCCTTTTTCCTCTCTCTTTTTTTTTCCTCTCTCTCTCTCTCTCTCGCCTTTTTTTTTTCGCTTTCCCTGTCTGTCGTCCTCCAGACTAGTTCCAGTCTCTCATCACCCCTTTCCATGGATAAGACCCTTTCTCTGGATCCAATGCGCCGGTCTGATGCAAAAGTTTGGTGGTGAAAGCGACGGAACCAAACGCAACCAAACCAAACCCACCGATTAATCGTGTATGGCTTTAGCGTCACCTACAAACCCTGCGACGAACAGGAGAGAAACACAAGCTTTAAAACATTCCCGAATAGAATAAAACCTTGGAAAAGCAAAGAGTACCTTGCAACAGTGGAAGCACCAAGGCATGATAATAGAAGACCTTCTCCAGAAGCCACATCACGTACTTGGAATATCAGAGCTTGGGCCGAAGGAAGCAGTGCCACTTTGATGTTTCAGACGCAACGGGGCGGGCGGCAGCGCAGTGGCAGCACTTGTGATGATCACTGTGGGACTGAAGTCGGGCCCCCGAATTCACGTTCCAATCATGTGCTCGCGATTCCTGAGGTCCTGTGGATAAATTCATAAACAAACAAGGCTCCCGGCCAGTGTCATATCACCTCCTGTGCGTCTGATTAGAACCGAAAAGAAATGCGAGAAAAGCTTAAAAACCGGCTTCGTTGGCAAAGGTTTACTTCGTCCTGGGAAAATTCTTCTCAATCATACAAAAGTCAGTGGCGAGAGAAGCATCCCAAGCAAAGCTAAACAGGAAATTCCATACCAGATATCCACGCAGGCTAAAGCGCGAAAACCGGTGGCTGTCTGTCTTGAGGTATGTTCCACGTAAAAACAATCTCCTTAAAAAAAAGCACGTAAGAACCAACAAAGACGTGACTTGTCCATCCAAAGCGTTTCCACGAAAGGCAGTACACGGTGTCGTATTTAAAAACCTGCGCGGAGCGAATCTATACATTATACAGTGGAGTCATACCTCACACCCGCTCTTTTTCTTTCTCCTCGACTTGCTTCAGGAGCCTGGATTTCTCTTCGAGTTCCCGCTGAAGCTCCTCTTCCCAGAGTTCTTCACGAGCTTCTATCTCTTCCCTTTCAGTCTGTGTATCGAAGTTTAAGCGTTCTGTTAGAAACTGATTTTTGTTTTCTACACTTGCCTTGTCATATTGCCAGTGAACGGATCCATCACCTCCGGCACGACGATAATCGTCTCCATCATAGTAAGGATCCTAGAATTGCGTTACGTAAGAAGAATAAAAAATGCTTTAGCTCAAGCTTTTACAAACGAAGCACGAACTTACAATCATGGAGCCAGCAACGCAGCACCCGAACGAGAACAGGATCGCAATAAACATATCTGGAAAGAAGATCAGCAGTTCCCGATGACAAGCTGTATCTATTAATACGCTTACACATGTTTTTTATCTCTTGCTCGCTCATCACCCAGGTGTTGAAAACTTCTTCGACAGGTCTGGTGGTAGCAAGCGTGAATAAGCCTATTAGACTGAAAGAATGTAGCCTGAATTCCGTGTGCTTTTTAGACTTCTGGAGAGAAACTTCCGTTAGGAATGAGAAATACAAACAATATAGAAATGAATGCAAACCTTTGCTCGTTCGAACTGCTTGCATTTTGCCGAAACATTACATCCAGACTTCTTCAGCGCACCCGGGAGACTAGAATTCAAGCGCTGGAATTTGAAAAACACCACAGAGCGGCCATTGAATGAGCCACACAGTGATTTTCATCACGTTGTTCTTTAGAGCATGAAATTTGGTACCTCCATTTAGTTCATTCTTTCGCATACCTGTGATGCCGTATCAATGCAACCCTTGACGACCGGTGTGGAGCATGTATTGCAAGGCGCCATTGCCACAGCCATTACCCAATCACTTGCTTCCGTGGCCTTCTGCTGTAAAACATGTGGCATCCTTTATTCGTCCACATAAGCTGGTTAATTGTTGATAAGTGGAAACAAAAGCTCACTTGTTTCTTTGGCCACAGCCTTCTTCTTACAATGCATATTTCATGCTAGCCAAGACGTGCCTCTCGCCTCAAAACCTGCGAGAATGTTTACGCCGCAAAGGGTTGAAAGCTAGAACAGCTAGAACCGCAGGGACGATGCTTTATCTTACCTCCTCGGAAAATTTGATTAGAATTGTTGTCCTTGGCCGACTCTGGCCTTCCATTGGTACGTAATGAGCCGTTACTCTAGCAGGAAATCCAGCACCTTCCAACACACCCTGCGAGGAGAGAAAACCTCAGAATCTTTACTTGAAATGAGACATCTATGCCCAACCTTTACAATACCCGCGACGTATGCTCCGCAGTTAAAGGCTCCCATGTCCTTAGGCACTGAGATGTATCTAAAAACCATGGCAAAATTAATGCGTTTTCTCGCAGCACAGAGCAACTTACTTGTTCACGAGAAGTTCTTTCTCGCTGATCATGTACTCGTCGTCGTGCTCCGTGCCTTTTTCCAAAGAGTCGGCAACCTATTCGGAGAGATCACTTCTACTTGCCTGAAAGAAAAACCACGAAACTTACCTTTCCAAAGAGAGACTTCCAGACAGTGGTGTGGACAAAAGATAAGATTCCTAGCAATCGTATCTCTCGTTTGTTACCCTATGAGAGAGTTAAAAACAAAAAATTAACACGTCTACTAGAGATTCTTACCTTCTCTCTGTGACACAAAAGCTCGAGGAAACGGAGACCAACGCCATATCCCTGATCCTCCAATCTTTGAGAGACTTCCATCACATACATTCTCACAGTGAAGCATCGAGATTTTTTACCTGCGCTCGAGCTCTGCGATGTTATCCACTCGCGTCTGGTTGTACTGCACGATCTCGGAGAACAAAAACGAGAGAGCATTCACACTGACCTGGAAATGCGATCTTGTGCTTGCATTCTATGAGATCAAGATCATCGTGCTTACCTCGGATTTGCCCTTCCCAAGAGGCCGGTCCACGACATTGACGATCTGCTTCACAGCTCTGGCGCCTATCATCGCAAGAACCCTAGAAGTAGCTGACAGGAATCGAGCTCAGGACCTCCTTAGAAAGCGAACACGTGGCGAGCTGTCGAGTTGTCCAGATGTGAAAGGTTAGGGCTAGAGAGGCGCTCGGGAATTGCAAGGTATTCGCTCCTGTCCTGCCTCGACATGAAAACTAGAAACTCCCCACTCCAGTCACTCAAAAATTCTCCATTCGTCTTCGTCAATTTGTGGATGAAGGAGTTGAAAAGAGAAAACCGCAATGTTTTGGGAAATCCTCGCGGGCGTGAAGCCGACAGTGGCGCTGCGAGCTGCCGGAGCGATCCTGCTCGTGGCAGCTGCCAAGGTCTCCAACGCGATCAAGGAGAATGGAAGCAAACGCTACGAATCGATCAGCACAAGTGATTCCATGTAGCGATCAGCACAAAGAGATTCGTCCAATGTAAAAAGTAAATTTCAATTAACTTTGCCCCCGCAGAGGGTTGAACTCTGGACCTCCAGTTTACAAGACTGGCGCTCTACCACTGAGCTACAAGGGCATTTCACGTAAAACCCTTTCGACAAAAACGTCTTTCTCAGTCCTGCCCTGCGAGATTAATTAACACAAGCATTGTGAAGGGAATATTACAACGAGACAATGTATAGATACGGCTGTCAGTGGAGCTATAATCCATGGCCATGCATCACACCCATAGCATTCCATGTATGTAACGCATAGCATTCGCAATCATGAATCATGCAACATGTCACAATGCATGATGGGGGCAAAATGCGAACCATGCATCACACACCATTGCACTACATTCAAAGCGTGTGTGATGATGGGGCCTCTCTCTCTCTCTCTCTCTCGCACACAAGATTCCTGGAAGAAATCTTAGGTTTGAGCAACGGATCTTCTTCCAGGTGTGTAGAAACCCTTGCCTTGGAAGTGTTTTTTGCGAAGTTCTTGCGAGTTCTTTCGTGGGTGTGAGAAGTTCGTGACCGAAATGCCATAGCCTTGGAGGTTTTTGCGGTCGATCGAGTCCTCCGCCTTTGTCTCTGTGTCGATTATCGGAGCTTGGCTCCCTTTTTTTTTCTTTCTTGCTCTTTGGTGATGAATGGTTTTTTCCTGGAAAACAGTGCAGACTTCTGCATCGACTGAATAGTTCTCGCCCACCGATCGAGACAAACAAAGTTGTTTTGTCGGAGAAACTTTCACAGTCGCTCAGGAGCTTTTCTTTATTTTCGCTGTTCATCCTCTTTCTGTGATGACTACTGCTTTCCTTTTGCTAATGGCAGTCCTGTGCTTTTGTCTGCAGCTTCAATCATTTTGAGAACCATCTCCATTGCCTCTGGATGTTTTGTAAGAAGTAGCAACCAAAGTTTGTGATGGGATCTCTCGATCTCGATCAGTCGTTCGAGCGGCTCGGGGATTCTTTCAGGTGTCTCAGCCTGGACGCGCGCAAGGATTTTAGCCTCGTGAACTCGGTGAAGCTCGTCATCGAGGACTTCCATTCGGAGGGCTCTCAGGACGACAACGCTAGTGGCAGCAAACCAGGAGATTCTCTCGGAGCTCTCGAAGGTTGGCCTCTTTTCCTTGCTTTACTTCCTCCTCTTAAAGCTGAATAAGACTTTCTCGCCAGGAGAGCTCATTCTACTCAAGGCAGCTTTTGCTCTGTCGAATGTTAACAGAAGGCTGAGCCTCGGCAAGCTACTCGATCTCCAAGGTATGCCTCTGCTTCTTTTTGCTTCTTCTTTTTTCTTCTTTCGTCTTTCCGGCCTTGTTGTTGATAATACCTGTTTAATGCTAGCTTTGCAGGGAATGTACGAGTTTTTTGCAGAGTGAGGCCTTATCTCCCTCACGAAAATGTCGCCCATGCCTGCGAGGTTGTCTCTCCGACCGAGGTTCGCGTCTCTTCCAACGGGGAGCCTTCCAAAACGTTCAAGTTTGATAAAGTATTTTCTCCCTCGGCCTCGCAAGGTACGAACATTTTTCATTTCTCGAGATGTAGATTCTGAAGAAACTTGCTTCAATTCTTGCAGAGGATGTTTTTCTGGACGTGCAGCCGACTATCAAGTCTGCTCTGGACGGCCACAACATTTGTATATTCTCTTACGGCCAAACAGGCACTGGGAAGACTTACACAATGGTAAGCACGCTCTGGAAGTGTTCTTCATTTCTCTCAATGCTAAAAGTCGAGTGATAAGCAGGAAGGCCAGAAAGGAGCCCCTGGAATTGTTCCGCGGACACTGCAGCAGCTTTTCAAGGACAAGAATTTGCCAACCAGTGACTATCGCTTCACTTTGAGCATGTTGGAGATTTACAAAGGAACGCTGCGTGATCTTCTGGTTCCCCGGCCGACGCGACTAACAGACCCTCCAGCAAAGAGGTTTGTCTCTGTGACATGATCATTATACATTCTAAGCCGCTTTTCTTTGTAGCTTGAATATTCATCTGAGCGTTTCGGATCACGTAGAGGTCGAGAACCTGACGGAGTATGTGATTGACAATCTCTCAGACGCTCTCAAGTTTTACAGGAAAGGTACTCGTGCCAGATCCACTTCGTCCACAAGCTCAAATGAAAGCTCCAGCAGATCACACTGGTTCGATTTCCTCTTTTCTTCTATTTTTCGTGTATATAGGCTTGACAATATTGATCGTGCAGCTTGGTTCGAGTAAACATTGTTCGCAAGTCCCAGTTAGATAAAGTCTCGAGAAGCAAAGTGTGGCTTATTGATCTCGGTGGCAGCGAACGCTTCTTCAAAACCCAGGCATGGGGTAAGGTTTTGGAGGAAGGCAAATCCATCAACGTCTCCCTCACTGCACTGGGAGACGTGATCAGTGCTCTACAAAAAAAGCAAGCACACATTCCTTACAGGTATGCATAGAGCCCTTACTATAGCTCGAATGGTATCACAAACATTTTTCTTCTTCAGGAACAGCAAGCTGACGCAAATTCTTCGGGATTGCCTCGGTAAGCAAACTTGTTCTTTTTCATTTTTTCGGTTCTTTTGATTGTTTTGTGTCTGTAGGATGTAACTCCAAAGTTGTCATGTTCGTCCATGCAAGTCCCAAGGAGGAGGATTCGGCAGAGACCACTTGTTCCTTGACGTTCGCAGCTAGAGCGCGAGGAATTCACTTAAGTCGCGACTGTGCAGCAGTAAGTCTTTATTTTTTTGGTTCTTTCTTTCAACCTTGAAGTGATCTCCTTCCACAGAAATCCCGGGAGCGAGAAGCGCGGATCTCCAGCATCGTCCAGAAAATGGAGGCTCTGGAAGGTGAGTGCCAGCGCCTAAGTGTCGATATCCAGGCTCTCGAGTCGACCGTCAACGAGAAGAAAAGAAACTCCACACGTTTCAGTGACGCTCATCAGCTCCTCGAAAGCTCTGACCATCGCAACGACAAGCTAACCGGTGCGGCTACGACGAATCCATCTCCAAGTACACCATCTTTGCCGAGGTTTATGACACCGACGATAAGCAGCCTGTGCAAGAACCGGTGCGCGTTGCAAGAGTTCAACGAGCCAATCTGGCCGGAAAGCCTGCTCGCCAAGAAGATCAAGAGCTTCGCTAGCTCGGACTCTCCGCAGATTTCCATCGATCTGGGAAGAAAACGCGCTATAGTTCCCGCTTCTCGGCAAAGGATTCATCATCCACAGCAGCAGCAGCAGCAAGTAAAAAATCCGGCTCTCATGACTCCAAATGGACAGGAGGAAGACTCGAGCACTCCAACAAAGGCTGCTCTAGCATCCAGATCTAGGAGCGCAGCTCATGTGAAATGGAGCAAAGAAGAGATGGAGCACCAACGATCGTCGAGAACCAAGATCCAGAGGCGGCTCACGCTGGAGTGCTCTAGCCGATTAAGCGTCAACTTCTGATCAAGCAAAAGCCTAGGAAACTACGACCTTTCTCTATAGTTTGTGCTCGAGTTTGTAAACGAGTTTTCTTGTTGCTATGATACGCATCCAATAACTTCTGATCAAGCAAGCCTAGGAGACTACGATCTTTCTCCAAGTTTGTGTTTTGAGTTTATTACAGAGTTTTCTTGTGCTCATGATCCATATGATTTTCAGTAGTTTTCCCGGACTATATCAAAGCTATGTGAGAGAGAGAGAGAGAGAGAGTGTGTAAGAAAAGTCAAGTATAGTCAAATGTGGTCAGCACCAGTCTAGCAGTCTAGCCTGTAGAAGATGTTCCAGAAGAGCACAAGTCCGCCAGGCTCGTTGCCCGCGGTGGACACCGTCGCGTATCCTCGCGCGCAACGAAACTCGCCACTCCCCCCAATCACGGCGAGCTCGCGCTGGGGATCCAGGAAGGGATTCTGGCCATGGAGGCTGATGCTCCCGGCGCGGCCAAAGATCTCCACCGTGGCGCTCTGGAGCAAGCTCAGCGCGGAGAGGGAATCGAAGGTGAACATCCCGCGCATTCTCCCGACCCTGGCGGATTGGATCGAGGGCGATCGCGTGAGCAGATCGTCGAACACCGCGACGACGCCGAAGTAAGTGTCGTTGTTGATCTGCGGCGTGGTGACGAAGGCGGTGGTGGGATTGGAGCCCGAGGTTTGATCGTGCATGTAGAACTGGAGGATGCTCCACGGCCGCTCCATTCGCCCGCTAATGGCTTGATCGTCGTTCTCACGCGGCGGCGCTGCTATTGGATCGCTGGTGCCCGATGGCGCCAATGCGAGTAGCGCGAAGAAGAGGATCGCGAGAGAAGAGGGAGCCATTCTGGATCGATCAACCAATTCATCGATGTCTCGCCATTTAAAGCCGCGCGTTTGTTTCTTTATTCCCTCACTCACCAAGAGTGCTGCTAGGGAAACTTTCCCCCCCCAATTCGAAAGCTTTCCAATATTTTAGGGTTTATGGCGATGGCGCATTCTTTTTGCTCGATTCGAATCGTTTCCATGGCAGCAGCGCCTTCTGGGGCCTTGCGGTATGCTGCGCGACTCATTCTGGTCGATCGATCAATAGCCCCCAAGGCAAGTTCTTTTTTAAGCTATAAACAAGTCAATCCTCTTGCTAATCGCGGCGATTGACTTCTTCTTGGTCGATTTTGCAATCACTCTGACGATTGTGTCGGTCCAAGATCTTGGAAAAAAAATCTAGAGTGACAATTTGACAAAGTCTACGGTTGCCGCATTGGAATTTAGACTTGCGAAGCGAAAGAAATGAGTATGTTCTCACTTTGCGCCCCGATTTTTTTTGTCATTCTTTTTTCTTTGCTCGTGAGCCGAGCTACTGTTCTCTGTACTATCAGTATGGTTCTCTGAAGATTTGGACCTGGAATGGAGGAGCTACCGCTTTCGATTCTTTTTCTTTTTGTGCTGCTTCTTCATGGAGCAGCACAAGGACAGCAGCAGAGAACGCTCGATCCGACAGAAGGTAGCTTCTAATTTTGTAAGTTCTTCCACGAGTTTCTTAACTCTTTTTTCCACAGTGGAGGCACTCCGAGTTTTTGGATCCCGGATAGGCCTCTCACCGGCATGGAACTTCAGCGTCGATCCTTGCAGTGGTCTCTACGGATGGAACAACACAGCTCCGGCGGAGAGATATCAACCAGCGAGTGGAGTCCAGTGCGACTGCTCCGGGAACTCTTCCGTTTGCCATGTGCTTCGGCTGTAAGTTTTCGGCTTCCACTCTTTGGTGCTTAATTGATTGGTCTGTTTTTCCTAGTGTTGTTTTCAATATGAATGTAGCAGGCGAGATTCCTCCGGAAACTGGGAATTTCTCTTCTCTTTTCGATCTGTAAGTTCTTCCGTTTTCCACGGTGTGGTTACATACATGGACTTGCAGGAACCTTGGTCAAAACATGATCACTGGTACACTTCCAGCGGAATTGGGATCCTTATCCAACCTACTGTACTTGTACGAAACTCTTTTGTCGTTCATGAAGTGTCGTTAGCTTCTCACATTTTCTTTTCCTACGTTGCTAATACGAACAACAGCAATATTGGGATTAACAGGCTCAGAGGACCCTTGCCTGCAAGTTTTGGCAGGCTTACTCAGCTGCGTAGCATGTAATGTCACTTTTGTTTTTGTTTCGTTATTGATATTTTTATGTTTTCCTAGGGGTATTGGTACCAACTATCTTACTGGTTCGCTTCCACCAGAGATTGGCAACCTGCGATTCCTAGAACAGTTGTACGTATAAAAGTAAAGCATTTTCATTGAGGTGTTTTTATATCTGGCATCCAGGTACATGGATTCAAGTGGGTTAAGTGGAGAAATTCCTCCCCAACTTGAAAGTTTACAACGTCTACAAATCCTGTTAGTGCTTTCTGCATATTTTGGCTTAACATTGATGGAAATTGCAGATCGATATCAGATAACAACTTCAATGGCTCAATAGACGTTCTTGGAAACTTATCCAGCCTCCAGGAGCTGTAAAAAATGTCTTTTGCTACTTGTATCCTTGGTAACCATTTTTTCGCAGGACAATGGAAGGAAACAGGTTCCGAGGACAACTTCCATCGAGCTTAGGCGCTCTTCAAAACTTGACGAAATTGTAAGTATTGTTTTTTTTTTCATAAACTAAAGTTCTGGTATCTCCAGATACATTGGGGACGTCTCTGCCGGGGCTCGCATTCCAGAGTCTTTGAATCGGCTATCACTTTTAAGCAGATTGTAAATTTTTTTTCTTTTCTCTTTTCTTTCTTCTCATTTTCACTTGCACAGATCGTTGAGAAACTGTGAGCTGTCAGGTTCGATACCGGACTTCAGCAATATGACCAGACTTGTGTTCATGTAAGTGTCTTTTCATTTTTTTCGCTATAGTTCATTGTTTGATATGCGCAGTGATTTAAGTTTCAACCAACTGACTGGTGTTATTCCCTCTTCTCTCGCATCGCTACCATCTTTGGAAAATCTGTAAGCGTGTTTGTCAAACATTAACTTAAATTCTTACAGCCTGTGTCCAGAGTATTGGCAAACAACAATTTGAATGGAGAAATTCCTGCGGAACTTGGCTCTCTCACCGGTCTTGGAATTCTGTAGAGAAGTTTATATGCACTTAAGGCTTATGTTTGCTGACCTTGGTCTGAGCAGGGACGTTTCTTTCAACAACCTGACAGGAGCCCTTCCATCTTCTCTCAACAGAAGTCGATTGCAAGAGTTTGTATCCTTGTTTTCGTTATCGGGTCGTTCTTACGAAAGTTCATCTGTATTGTTGCAGAAATATCATCTGGAACAGTTTTAACGTTTCCAATGCGCAAGGGTAAATAATGCTGATTGAGATTCTATATACTAACAGAATGTCTACAGGCAAACTGCAGCTGAGATGAACTGTTTGGAGACTCGAATGGGATGCAACGCCGTTGATGCTGGAAGAAGTACGAGTCCTCCCTTTCTTTGTGTACTAACGTTGGTATCATTCAGACTTTGAGTTGTCTATCAACTGTGGTGGTCCAGCGGTTTCTGCTGACGGAATGACTTTCACCGAAGATTCGTCTTCTCTATCGGAAGCGGTTTATTATTCGAACTCAAGCCAATCATGGGCAGTTAGCAGCACTGGCTATGTTGATTTTAACGGGAACACGTTCAATTCAGTTCCAACTGCAGCTACACGCGTTACTGGAACTCGAGACTCGTCACTCTATCAAACAGCCAGAGCTTCTCCTACCTCTTTGAAGTACTTTGGGCTTGGAATGGTTAACGGGCCCTATCAAGTGGATCTTCATTTTGCGGAAATTGTTATTCAGGACGATAGCTCGGGGTGGACGGGGCTAGGAAGAAGGTTCTTTGACGTTTATATCCAGGTAAGAAAAGCTTGCTGTATAGTTATTCTTCTGAAAACAAATTCTACAGGGGTCAAGGGTGTTGCAAGATTTCGATATTCGAGCAGAAGCCAATGGTTCTTATATAGCCATCGTGAGACCCTTTCCTGCTCAAGTCTCCAATAATGTTCTTGAAATTCATCTTTTATGGAGAGGCAAAGGGACTTGCTGCTCTCCAGCTCCGCTTTCCTTTGGACCTCTGATATCTGCAATTCGAGTCCGGCCTGGTATATATGCCGAGTTTTTAGTATAACATGTTCTAACACACTTTACTTCTTAGAGTTTGATACTTCTGGGCTGATTCCAGCAACACCTTCGCCCTCCAGCGATTCTAAAGTTGTACCCATCGGTGTTGGGGTTGGTGTTTCTGTTGCTGTAGTTTTTCTGGCGGCGATCTTTGCCATCTTGTTTATCCGAAAACGACGTCGACTGAAGTATGGACAAGATGAAGAAGGTACACGAGACATGTTCCTCAATAACGTGATTTTTCCTTACTTCCAACAGATTTGAGAAGTTTGGAAGCAAAGCCAAATCTCTATTCTTACAACGACTTGAAGATAGCTACCCGAGGATTTGCTCCCGAAAATAAGCTCGGACAGGGTGGATTTGGGAGTGTCTACAAGGTATACGAACTAAGTGTTGCTTTATTCTCAGTGTTCCTTCTTTTTTCCTTAGGGGGTGCTGCCAAATGGTACAATTGTAGCAATGAAGGAGCTTTCATCTAAATCAAATCAAGGGACTCGGGAGTTTCTGAACGAAGTAACCGTCATCTCTGCTGTTCAACATCGTAATCTGGTTAAGCTTCATGGTTGCTGCATTGAAGGAAGCCATCGCATTTTAATTTATGAGTTCCTGGAGAATAACAGTCTTCACCAAGCTTTACTCAGTAAGTTTGCAAGCGTCCTTCTCTTTTCTCATGGTGATTTCCAGAACCGAAAGAACGAGTAATCCATTTTGATTGGCCAACTCGTTTCAATATCTGCGTTGGTATTGCTCGAGGCATTGCATACTTGCACGAAGAATCACTTCCAAGGATTGTGCATCGGGATATCAAGGCCAGCAACGTGCTTCTCGACAAGACCCTCAATCCAAAGATTGCAGACTTTGGTTTGGCAAAGCTTTTCAAGGATCACCAGACTCACGTCAGCACCCGTGTCGCAGGAACAATGTAAGCACCACTCTTCCATGTTTTATCCTGACACTAGCTTCTTCTTATTGTAGAGGCTATCTTTCTCCAGAGTACGCAATGAGGGGCCAACTGACAGAGAAGGCCGACGTCTACAGCTTTGGGGTGTTGGTGCTGGAAGTTGTGAGTGGAAGAGACAACTTGGACACATCCTTACCCACTGAAATGATTTATCTTCTAGAATGGGTAAGTGTCATGACAAGATCCTCCTTGAAAACCATCAATGGTCATTGCTTTCAGGCATGGCATCTCCACGAGAACAACCGGGCACTAGAACTTCTGGATCCGGAAGTGCCAGAGTTTGACGAGGGAGAGGTCCTAAGGGTGATTCAGGTGGCTCTTCTGTGCAGCCAGGCACTCGCATCGGCTCGTCCAACAATGTCACACGCTGTGGCGATGCTTCTGGGAACTGCCACCATCGACGTTACCTCGCTACAGCCCGGCTACTTCGCTGCGCTCCAGAATGCAGCTCCCGGGTTTTACACGGACGCGCTTGTCAAGATGGCTTCAAACAAATCGAGTTCTATCCAAAGTTCCAGGAGTCCTTCCTCGGTCACAAGCAACTCCAACATGCCAATGAATCAACCTCGCTGAAAACACGCACCTATATTCTTTTTGTGTAAAAAATATCGTGGAATTAGCAACTTTCGAAATACAAAACAAGGTGGCTTGCGGCTGTTATTATACCAGGAAGTATATGAGTATGATGGTGATGAATACCGGAACAGAAGGACTCCAGGCCCTCTCCAGTAGTGGACGCAAAATA